TTAACCCTATTAAATCGCAAGCTATTATAATAGGCAGCCAGAAACTACATTCAAAAATTACTCGGTCATTGATACCATCGGTGATGTTAAACGATGTTGAAATTCCTTTTACCGAAACAGTAAAAAACCTAGGAATCATTTTTGACCAGCATTTATCCTGGGGGCCACAGGTAAGTGTACTGAGCCGCAAGATGTTTGGAGCTGTTTTCTCCCTTCGCAGGTTGAGAAATTTTCTGCCTATACCTACTAAAATTGCGCTGGCATATTCACTTTTATTACCAATACTTGATTATGCTGATATTTGTTTTCTTGACCTTAAAGAGGAGCACCTGAATCGACTTGAGCGACTTCAAAATCTTTGCATACGGTTCATATTCGGTCTCCGTAAATATGACCACGTTTCTCACTTTCGCAAAAAGCTCAAGTGGCTCCCAATCCGCTTTCGCAGGAATACTCACATACTTCATCTCCTCTACTGCGTGCTGTTTAATCCTTCTACCCCTTCCTATCTCAAAGAGCGTTTCGAGCTTCTAAGGAATTCTCATACTCGTTCCCTGCGTTCTAGTGAAACGCTTATCCTCAAAATTTCTTCTCACTCCTCTTGTTTTCTTGCCAACTCCTTTTCTGTGAAAGCTGCACGTCTATGGAACTCTTTACCAGTACACATCAGACGGGCTGATAATTTGGTCAAGTTTAAGACGATGTTAAAAACGCATTATTTATCTCTTTAGTTTGTCTTACTATAATATATTATGTACAATATATTTGATATTATATGTTTATTATATGTATTTATGTGTGTATGTATGTATGTATTTGTGTATGTATGTATGTATGTGTATAAGTATGTATTTATACAAGTACACCGCCTACCATTTTTATATACTGATTCCTCTACCCTAAGGTTGCCTGGAAGAGATCGCTTCTAGCGATAAGGCCGCCTGCTGTGCATCTTTTTATTGTTATGTATTTCACTTCGTTATTTATTTTCTTGTGTGGTGTGCAATAAAGTGTTCATTATTATTATTATTATTAAGTCTATTGGTACTCTTCTTAAAGAATTTATCCCTTAAATAGTTAAAAAAAAATTGAAGTAGAGAAAGCCACAGGAAACACGATGTATCCTTATATAATTAACAATTACTGTCTCAGATCCTACAATAAGCTCGGCTGTAATTTTCTATTATATGGCAAAGGTCCCCCTTTCCATTTTAGAGAGAAACTTTTGACGATTAACTTCTCACCTTTCGCGAGTTCATTAATTAAAAATCAACTTTTTACTTGTTGTAAATGCCAGCCTGTATTTTTGTTATTCCAGAGCACCTATAAAATTAAGTCTCCTTATTTCTTTAACCACTTTGTTTATATATACATACATACAATATACATGTATTCTTAAACGGACTATGGTTAAAAATGCGCAAGTTTGCATGTGTGTAGGTATGTTTGTTATTCTTTGACACTGAACGGCTGGACGAATTTACATGTTTAGTACACAAATAGCCTATGACCATTTTTTTAAACGTTAAGAAATGCATTCAGGCACGAGGTGTGGGACTCTCCAGTAATGCCAGTAGGTACTACCCACTAAAACCTAACGGAACCTCCCCCGTCTTAATGGGGCTTCGCAGGATCGCTTACGCACTCAACTACGGTGCCCCGAGAATAGCTTGGAGTAATATATTATAGGCTACTGTTAGGCACCAAGTCGTTAGTAATTACTAAAACTTAAAATAAAGCTTTTTATAGATACGTATTCCAGTAACTATTTTTCAAATTAAAGTGACTCAAAGTAACCTTTAAGTATACCTGTCTTCAATTTAAAATTATGCAAACATTCCTTATGTATGGCGTATCAAATAATTTACAATACTATTAAGTAGAAATAATAATGGTTATGTTACAATCCTTGCTGTTATTTATATACAAGAATTACTTTATTGCAAAGGAAAATGGAGCTTAACATTTAATTATTAGGATTGAAATTTCATTGAATTGTAGATTTTCCTAGTTTTCGTATCGCACGAATAGTTAATTTAATTTTGGTTCGGTCTTTAGTTCAAGATTTGCGATAAACAATAGTAAATACAGAGATGTGTAGTCGCGGTTTACGTTGCTACTAAAGTACGGTACTGTTATACAAAAAAATATCACATTGTGAGCATTTTCTTTGAACACTTACCTACATACAGAGATCGTAGATTGTATTTCGTATTGGTAAACTGGCGCTAAGGATTTTTCATTTAGATTGACAAGTTGTAATGCATGGCAAAATCGTCATCTCCATGCCCATTTCCCAATGACTTGGGTCGCCGCAGTACATGGCAAAATAACTTCTATAAATGCTGATAAAACTCAAGTGATTAATGTGATTTTAAGTAACTTTTAAATAATATACCAATGACAATGACGTAGGTATATCCATAAATCATAACTAAAAAAGTCGCCGCTAAATAAAATTATTTAAAGTTTACGAATAAAAAGAATAAAAGATACGTTAGGTTTAAAATAAATATTTCAATTGTCGAGATGCGTGTGCGCAATTCTCATGAAGATGCGCGAGTACCGCTATTTAGACTCATTGCGACACAGAATACTGAAACATGCCAAATGTCAGCATTTGTTTTGCCTTTGTGGGTAAAGGGCACAGGCTTTTATTATATTGATGAGGTACCTAATAATTTAGTTTATGCCATAATTAGCATCGTAAATTGAAATTATGTAAAGCTCAAAGCTGTAAATAATTCATTAAGTGTTTACGAGTATTTTCTTCATATTAGCACCTACTTTAAGTCTCTCTTAGTTTAATTTAAAAATACATAATTTATGCTTAGGTAAATGAATTATTGCGCGCATAGTCGGTGTGAGAGAGAAAGATGAAGTATAGTAGCAAAAAATAATGGCAATTTTAACTTCTAACTTTTCTAACTTCGCATATACCTACTATTATCTTATAGGCTTCGAGCAACGGAAATTGTTTTTGCCGTTTTTACAACATTAGAGTGCATCCATATACCTTGTTATTTTGGCAGGTCAGTGGCCTGTGATTTATCTCGAGATCGCAAACCTGTTACGGCTCCACAAACGGTAGGTCACCTGCCTGTTACCTTACAATCGACTACATTTATGGAATACTAAGCGCCTATTTAGGAAAATTTTATAGCTCACAAATAGTAGTTTCTGGGTTAGGTGCCTTTTTGCTAGTTATGTCTTAAATACCATTACATATTTGTATCCTTATTTGTAATTACGACTTTAAATACATCAGCTGCCTTCTTTATTTAAAAGTTTACTTTTTTCCTGGTTGACCTTATTATTGATAAGTATTTAAATGGATTGTGGAATGTTCTTTCTAAATTCATATATGTTGTAGAAAAATTCTATTAAAAACCTAGTTAGGTATATGTCAGGCTACAGCGGATATTTTTGTAAGTAATGGTTTTATTTTATTGTAATTATTGCTATACGTTGAATAAATTTGGATTTATAACGTAATAATAACATGAGATTTTTTGGTTTATTGAATACGAAATATACAAATATACTTTATTTTATTATAATATCTTTAATTACCTATAAACAAATAATATCTACAATAACATTTATTCTAATATCAACAATGAAAAAGTTCAAATACATTTCATTGAAATTCTGAAGAGGTTAAACACTTCATTTATTTTTATTATTTTATAAGAGGTTTTGTTCGAAGACAATAAACATCACATATGAATGCTCATCACGTAACAGAATACTTGATAATTTATGATTGTCTTAGATAAGTTATTTTGTTTATTTTTAAACATATTAATATATTTCTATCATCTATATAGTTGAAGAGGTTGTTTCTTTGTACTTTTTATTTTATTTTTTGTTTAACGTGCTGGAACTACCGGTTTTTTTGGTGTTTTATTTAAATTATTCATTGGGGAAGGCTAAAGATAATCTGATATCTTCATTAGATATATTATTAATATTTCAATTTTACAATATACTAGAAATTATTGTATATTGTATAATTTTACTTTGATTTAGCATACGCGTTACGCAATATTCTTTATTGAAGATTGAACGGTAAATCTCGGATCATTAGACATTTACTCAGGAAGTAAGAAAATGGCATATGACAACCGTCGATACATAATAATGTTTTAATGTAAATCTCTCCGTATCCCTCGCAAGAGTTACTTTACACCGTCGTGTACGTATTTGCGGTGAATTGCTACCGTTGCATTATATTACGGAACAACTCCTTTTGATGTCGTTTTATAGAAATGTGCAATTCACGGAGTTGCCGAGCACGACCGTGTTTCTGATGTTGTAACTTTTATTTGATACATAATAAACAACCTAGACTTCAAGATTATTCATCTCGGTCTCAAACACCTTTTAGTAATTTATTAAGTCTTAAAGCGAATAATTTATTTCATTTACATTTTTAAGCAAACACATGACACATTCATCTACGTGTTTATATGGATAGAGTATATAATTGCAAATTGCTGGTAAAGTTGGCTAAGTTTTCGTTTAATTTTATGTATATGTATATACTATACAGTAGTAGTGCCAAAGTGCATAAACAGTGGTAAAAATATAAATAGACCAAAAATTAACGATTCTTAAAATATTTTCTCTGTATATAATGGGTATTTTCTGTGCACATAAATTAAAAGAGACTCAAGTAGCCAATGAGAGAACTCACCTAGCCAAAAGACCTAACTAATCTAAATTGAACTATTGCCACTAGATGTTTGTATATACTCGTACATATGGCTTATTATTATTTTTATGACAGAACAAATAAATATATTAATATTTTTATATTTTTATTTAATCGTTAGGTATATCAGCCGTTAAACTCATAACACGAATTTAGAGAAAATTTCAACAAGTATGATTATCTTATTAGTTCTGTTTTAAGCTAACCAAGTTTTTACATACAGAACGAAACACAAGCCGGCAAAGCTTAGGCTGAAACTAGGTAATAAACAATTATATCGTACCTGTAAGCATGTACATGGACAGGGCACCCAGTGATGGGGTTATACAGCAGAAGGACACACGCCACAACATCCCCCTGCACCACCGCGCTCGTGATGCTGCCGTGCGGTATGAAGTGCTTGATGGTTTGTTGCTTGCCCTTGGCAGTTACATTTTGAATAATCTTCAATCCTTTGTGGGACACCTGCATATAAAAATGTCACGAAATATACTTAAAAGTAAAATACGTACAGTTTTAGGAGCCTAACCAAGACCTAAACCTTAACCAAGACTAAACAAGATATTATTATCTTTATATTTAAAGTAAATTTGTTGTAATCAAAAATATTTTATCAAGCTTTTGAAATTGCAAATCTTTACGTTCAAGGTTATTCGGTTTTCTCATTCAACTATAAATATTTACAATGATTTATGATTTTTTTATAATGCAATCTTATCTGTGTCATAAAAAATATTTTTTGAATAATGAAATTTTGTTACCTGCAATGTAACTTTAAAAGGTTCCAAGTCTCTCGCCCTCTCTTCTAAGAGTCGTATCGCGGGTAGTGCGAACTCCTCTCCCCTCAGACCGCGCGATTCCTGCGCACCGAGGAACCACACATAGTAAGAGGCTTTCTTTATATCCTTTTTTAGTCGCAACGCCATTTTGTTGTAACTTCTATGTCATTGTTGAATAACTGTAACAATAAAAAATGTGGTTATATTAAAATATGTATAGGGATAAAACAAAAACAAACCTATCCCACGGGAACCGTACATTTTTCCGGGATAAAAAGTAGCCTATGTGTTATTCCAGACTATAATCTATCTCTGTGCTAAGTTTCATCCAGCTCCGTTCAGCCGTTCTGGCGTGAAAGAGTAACAAACATCCTTACTCACAAACTTTCACATTTATAATATTAGTATCGATTTTACCCCCATAGTTAGTTAAAAAGCATACACTTTCCAGTGGCCAAATATCTCATGTCCTGTTGTTGCGTTAAAAAAAAAAGAAATCAACAAACAAATCATTTTCGCATTAATAATATCATAACAAGGAAACAAAATTAAAATGTGATGGGATGATAGTGATGTGTCTGATAGCAATCGCGGTTCCGTAGGCTCGATCTGTGGATGAGATAGGGTTAAGCCTAAGAGCGGTGTGTAAAAGCCGCCATTTAGAGTTTACATTGTACATTATCTTAAAATCTTTACAAAGTGCAGAATGAAGTAAAATTATCATATAATATATTATTATATTCGTATATAATAAAATTGCGTTTAGGGTGACCCAAATTAAATGTATAATTTTAATGTGTTTGAAGTAGAGAACGTTTGCAATAAAACATTTCTACTAAGTGCTTTGTAATAATGGTGACATGAATTGATTACTAAGTAGTCTCTTGTTATTTATAAATTGTCTATATAATTATTTGCAACGACATCAGCCAAAAGCAAAACATTTGTATTCCATATAAGTGATTTAAAATGAGAATTCAATCCTCGTATGTTCTTTAAATTCTACACCTGAATGAAACGGCCATGTTACAAATATCCATAATAAAATTAGACATTAACGCATGCAATACTTTCAAAATAAGGGCATTGGAATTAGATTTCGAAATGTCCAATACTAATATGACTACATTTTAACTTGAGTTTAGCTTGAAATATAATTTTGATTTATTTATGGGAACTTAAATCTATATACATTATACAGTATTCCTATAATATTATATTGGTTCTGTTTGCAATATATGTATTATAACTAAGGATATGTATATATTTAAAAAAAAAAAGACAATTAGTACTGTTAAGAATAGACAATTTTATTATTTACGATTTTCGTTTTATTTTGAGTTATATGAATTATAAAGATTTTTACTACACTGTTTAAAATAAAATACAAAAATAATACTCATACATATTTGTCTTTAAAAAAATTATGTCCAGTGCAAAGATAATAATATTTTGTATATACATAGTGACCGTTTGTTTATTACGAATTCTCTCACGCATTCGTTGCTTCATTTATTCTCAAACCTTGACTTCTTTTTAACAGCTTACTGAGAATACGCCAAAACGCTACTAACATAGCAAATTGCTCAATATTAGATTAAATAGTATTTTTACTTCTTTTCATATAATAATAAAACAGACTTTTTAGGTTTAATATTTGTTGGGAGTAATTTAGATATTTCATTGAAAATTATTTTTTGAAATCTAATTTAATTCTTGAAATATCGATAGAGGCCGAATCTATAGTTTTTAGAAATTCTGTCTGTCTGGGAAGTGGGAACACATCACAAGAAAACCACTGGACAGATTTTGAATTTTGGTATGATGATAGCTGGTTGTCCGGCTCAACATATAGGATAATTTTTATTGCGAGAAAGTATCTCATCTCTGAGAAATCTATAATAACCGTTAAAACGAATACGAAAAAATGTTAACCAAAAAGTGATTTATTAAATGAAATAAAATTCATTGATTCGTAAAAGAATAAACAGACAATATGTAATTTGAGATTTTCTAACGTTTCTTTCAGGTGATTTCATAATAAAAAATTGTATGTGGTCATCAAGCAATGACTTGTTTAGGTATTTAAGTATATGAACAATAAAAAACTAAATTTTTTATATAGCTTCTATAAGGATAATTTATTACAGCAGAAAATTATCTTCTCAACTGAACGGTACTGGATTTTTACAATTACTGAATAGGTACTGAATTGCATAACGGTGTAAGTATAAGCATTAAAAATAATTACAGATATATGTTTATTTTATGTTATTCAATGATAAAGACAACCCTTTTATTGCATAACAACAATAAAAGATTTAATTGCTTTACATCAAGGTGTTGAGTTATTAGAAATGTACATTTCGATTGTGTAAATTTTATTATTATTACTTTGAAATTTTTGTACGTACTTATTGTAGTGTTTTTACATGTAAAAGTTGTTTCACTGTTAATTTTTCTATAACTAGCATGAACTTCAACGCCGTCAAACGCACATATTCAGATCTACTGTCCAACCGATCGCAATAGGAAATATACATGGATCCTTACAATTTACATACGGAGAATATTATCGAGATTCTTTCTTTTCTTTTCAAGTAGAAACCTTACTGTGGCGTGGCTGTGGGGACACATAGTATATATAAATTAACAAAAGCTACTCTAAAAGCTGCATTACCACTTCTACATTGTAATATGTTACAATAGAAATAACTAAACATTTAAACTAAATAAAAAAATCCTAAATGAAAATATATAAAGCTTGCGTTACAATTCTGTACTCAATCAAAGTGATGGGTCATAAAATAGCTAATCACAAGTTAGTGTCTAAATGATGACCGCGGGCCGAATAACTGACCGTTACACACTTTGGAAGTGAGACAAGAATGTTATGCCGTTAACGGCTGCTCTGAAAAATATGATTACTTTTTAAACTTATCTCAATTTAAGATGACGATAGATGATATATAAAACAGGTGTAAACTGCAATTTATATAAGTATTTTTCGAATAATTTTTTTGTTTTATTTCAGAAAATTTAAAATAAAGAATTTTATTATATAGCAACATTTGAAATATCAAATGAATTAGCTCGTTAGGAGCAATATAAATACATATTAAAAACGCATATTCAATACATGATGTGTTTTTTTATTAAATAGATTAGGCTAAAACATTTTAAAATCCATTATTTATTCTATCTCGGTAGTCTAGTATAGCTAGCATGTACGGCTGCAGATCCGGAAGTCCTGAGTACGAGCCCCGGGTCGGGCCGGGGTTTAACTTCAGTAGTAGCCCGGAGCTAGGAAGTTGGCGGTGTTGCAACCCCATGCCTAGGAGGACACGTAAAGTCCTGCGCCTTAACTCTCACCGGTCGTGTCGAAATATCGTCCCATTGTACGTTGAGAGTAAAAGGAATAGAGAGTGCACTTGTAATATAACTGCGCGTACTCTTGTGCACTATAATATCTACTGATCATCTGGCTACTCTCATTGTCAGTGAGATTAGCAACCTTGGCCGAAATCGTTCAGGACGACATTATCATTACCTTCTTAAAATTTAAACCTATGGGACAGTTATCGAAATTAAACATTGAAAATATCATCTCAATGTAAAAAGATAACAAACATACACCCGAATTGTGGAGGTACCTTTTTGAAGTAGGTAATATGTCAAAAGACTTTAAAAAATATTATATATCTTTTTTATTATTTTTTTATTTATTAAGCATTCTCACGTACGTACTGATTCTAGAAATCCGGAGAAAATACAGAATATAGTATTCCACTCATACTTTTCAAGTGAAATATATTGAATAATTATAATTACATTTTAGAATATAAAACAGTATAAGGGACAGGTTTATTAATAGTCATACATATTGTATGTAACATACATAATCTGATACCAACTTTTTGGTAGGTACAAAGTTACAATTTAAGTAAGAACAAAACATATTATGTTTTGTTTTGTTTATTCTACGTAAACATAACACTTGCTTATTAAGCAAGTGTTATGTTTACGTAGAATTCGGTTACAACAAAATTTACCAGTAAGTACTAAGCATTGCGACAACTCATCCTCTTTATAAGAAAAAGCGTGCTTATATTCGCACAAAACGAATGATGATTCAGGGTTCAAAAAATTGGGATGCCATTATATTATGTAAAAATGTTAATAAATGTACATATGACAATATGTCATTGTATTGTTGTATTGCATCACAATAGGAATGTTTATGGGAAAACAATGGGCGATTAATTTTCGCTGTCGTCAGGTTCATGGTGTCATTTATTTTCACACGGTATTTATATTATGATTAATTATAATTTAAATTTAAAATATTTTTTTTATTAATGCCTAGTTATAAAAAAGTTAAGTTAAATAATCTTTATTGTACACCATTATCCAGGTACAAAACAAAGAATATAAAAATTTAAGGCTATATACGCTTAGGTTTCAATATTTAATTGTTTGCTGTAAAACTTACGTATCTATACATATAATAAAATTCTGGTCGAATCTGTACGCATGTCGTATACCTAAATGCATTTACCATCAAAATAAGAATAGAATTAACTTTTTTACCATCATTCTCTCAGCCGAAAGACGTCCACACTGGACATAGGCCTCCCCTAAAGGTTTCCACAACTGTCGGTCTTGTGCCATGCGTCCAGTGAGATTGACCAAGTCGTCGGTCCACCTTTTGGGAGGTCTGTCCAGTTTAAACTTAACTACTTTGTATTTTTAGAGAATAGTATAGTAATTTCTAGGACACTTTTTAAAATTCTGTAATATTTTCCCTAATGTGAGTATGTGAGAAAGGCACGTCTACTTGACTATATATGTAAATACTTGTTACTAAATAAACTTATTAGCTATGTGAAGACTCGCATAAGAACAATACGAGACGAAATAGTGGTGTCGAGAATCGAGGCCACTCGGTTATGAGGCAGATGCCTGTCTCGAAAGCGCCTTGTTTTTTTTTTACCAAAATGTATAAACGACCGTAGATTTACTACTTGGAAGATCTTAGTCATGCCGGTGAAAGAAAGTACCTGTGTTTTTATAAGTACCTACCTGTAAAACTTAAAAGAAAACAGTCTGTAAACAAGTCTTCGGTCATTGAGATATCGTGAATCTTC